GATGAGATGGCCTGTCAATGTGGTGTCACTGTGCTGCGGTTACCGCCCTACCACTGTGAACTGAACCCAATAGAGCTCATCTGGGCTCAAGTGAAGGGTTATATTGCGCGCCATAACACAACCTTCAAATTACCAGACGTTAAGGTTTTACTTGAGACTTCCATACAGCTAGTAACGCCCGAAGCTTGGCAGAATGCTATCCGTCATGTTGTGAAGGAAGACACAAAAATGTGGCAGCTTGACCACCACATCGACACCATCATAGAGCCAGTTATAGTCAATTTCAACGAGGAAAGCGATAGCGACAGTTTATTACTGTCAGATGTAAGTGAAAGCGACGATGAATAAAGGTAATTTCCAAATTTTTGACTTACAATATGTTTCAAACCACTCTTTATTAAGCATGTGACAAATCTAGTTCACCCATGTTAAACATTCATACCCCGCCTATGAACAGCCGACTACTGGTAGTTAAGTGATGTTCACGTGAACATCGATGAGTCATTACAGTTTTAGATAGTTATAGTATAGTTCACCTTGAGGGAGCACTGTTTTCCAAACTCTCAGGTTCATTAACCCTACACTTAATAGAACTGGATGATTCATCAATACATAATTTTATGTACTTGAATCGGCTCTGGTCATTGAAGGTCTAGCCGAATATGAGGGTCATTCAGGGTCATATATCAACGTAGAATATTTCGCTCATTTCATAAATATAGGTCCACGTTAAAACTTTTGAAGATGGATCCAAATGACCTTCAAGGTCAAGATCAAATACAAAGTCACCTTCTGAAAGCTGAGGGAAAATTCTACAGCTTTTATCTAAAGTATTTCTCGCTGCAATGCATCTTCGAAGAGCTATCGATAACCAGCATTACATTTGACCTTGGGCGATCACACAAGGTTAAATATGGGGTCAATCAAGATCATGTTAGGACGTAACAATTTCGGCTTGTGCAGAATCAATAGTAGGGTTTCATATTTTAAATTTTAAGGTTGACCTTCAAATAACCTTTAAAGCCTAATACATGGTCACCTGCCGATACTTGATGGAAGATCCTACAACTTTTATTTGAAGCTCTTTCCCCTAGAATGTATTTCTAAAGAGTTTACTGTACTTTTACACTGTGTATAACAATCTATAAATACATTTCTTTGAAAACTACTAGTTTAAGACCAATATTCCGTCATCTCGCCGATGGGACACCCTGCGTGTATATTCAAACAAAGTTCTGTTCGGGGTGCCTGGCAAATCGAATAATTCTGTTCTGAATATAACGGTGACGTAAGTACGCAGGGTGTATAAGACGCTTTGTCTGCCTGGAGGCGAACAGATCCACGAGCCTGTTTTTACTCAGTGGTTTCTCCAATCATCGCCGACACAGTTAATTCAGCATGTTCGGATTTTCGCCCACTCTATGCAAAAGCGAAGGAGAAGGAACGGAGGATAAATTGGAGTAAATACTTCTTAAGGTGGGGATGTTTCGATTTCACTTAACAGACTACTGTGGGGAGCAAGGGAAAAGGTTGTTGCACTGACACATTTAATTTGTTTATTAATGTTTCGACTGATGTAAGCAATTTATTATTAAAGGTTTTAAGACCGAATTATTTTTTTAGGAGCAGGTACACGATTTGTTTGTTGCCAAGATTACATAATCAGTAGTCATGATGCAAGTTCATTCGACGTTACACGCTAGTTTGACAGTTGTTGACATCTCACATTAAATTCGTATATCTCTGCGCAAATATAGTTATGAAAATAGCGTTCCACACAATCCTAGTGTTTACAACAATTTTTAGAAGTGTATAGGGGGAAGATTTAAAATACAAAATGACATGAACAAAGTAGTACAGTCCAATATTTGCATTGACATTAGAACCATATATATATATATATAGCTTACTACTTAATATTCATAGTTTCTAAATTAGAAGAGTTATCAGTTGAAACAGAAAGAAATTATTTTTTAAAACCTATTATTATAAAAGTACACGGCTTAGATTTTTTTATACTTTTCTGACAACTATTGTGACTTGGCCTATCCTCCGTTTCCGGCTTGACGTCGACTTGTGGAACACCCTGTATAGTTGAATTTTGCTGCAGAAGGTGCTTTTTTCAGCTATTCGAGATTTGTGATGATGATTTTGTCGGGTTCTGTATATATGGACAGATCCGATTTTTGAGAAGTGACAGTTGAGTGCTTAATTTTATTTTCAACTAGGCGTATAGACATGCAACGATAAAAAAACGTGTCAGTTGCTTCCGTATATATGGTAAAAACTTAATTCGTTTATTTTGAATCCTTTACATTTGAAGTGTTACACCCAGAAAAAATAATTTTTACAATTTGATTTTTTCTCTCCTAATGTCACTGAGTATAGTACAGGGTGTTTCAGTTTATTGTTGCATAACGTTAAGATTCGATAAAACTTTTAAAATTAAAGTCTATATAAACATGGGTCGAAAAATGCGTGGCTTCCGAAATACAGGGTGTTTAAATTTACTTTTTAGAATAGTTTTTTTAAATATTTCGAACAATATTTGATGTATAACAGTGAAAATAGGTATACAAGGGTTTTTTGATACGACAAAACGAACCATGGGCATAGTTTTATTGTAGCCGCTAGAGGGCGCTCTCTACTGTACCTATAGTGTATTAAAATAACCGAAAAATTTTTCTTAGTGCAATTTTGTGCTTTTTGAATAAAAAAACTGATTCCTCGCACTTTCGTCCATAAAAAAGCTTTCCTGTGAGTTTTCGTTATAGTTAGCCGTTTTTGAGATATTTCGATTTTCAAGCTTCGATGCATTTTTAATTATTTATGGGAAAATAGAATTTTTTTACATTTTCGATTTGGGCGATACAAGTAATCAAGATGATCGTTTAGATTGTGTTTTTAAACACTGCAATAATTCCTAACTCCAAATAAACACAAAAAACAGAATATTAATGTGTTTAATTTCCCAATATTATTTTTTACAAATCAAATTAATTATTTACAACTAAAATGCTATTGGATAGTTAGGACAAACATTCAAAATCTGAAGTAGTTGCTCGAAATGTAAACCCAATTGTTCAATACACAATTCACATCTACGAATGATCGAACGTGGTATAGCATTATTCAAATAAGGCATTATTTCATCACATGCATTCCTGATTCTGTCTATTAGCATATCCTCCACGGCCGATCCATCTTTCTGGATAATTTTCGTCCAGCCAGTTTCTAACTATTCTAGAATAATGAGCTGGACAACCATCAAGCTGGAACCAGGCCAATCTTCTTAAATCTAACATAACATCATCTCACATATTTGCATGCTCAGCCTTTAAAAATTCCAAGAAGGTTGCAGCATTTAACCTTGCAGGCAAAAGGTAGGGTCCAAATAGTCAATTACGGTAGATACCAATCCACACACTCACACTAAATTCATGCTGAAAATTTCTTTCCCGAACTGCATGCGGATTTCCATGCGACCAAATATGTTGATTATGAAAATTTACCACTCTACGTCTAGTGAAGCATGACTCATCGGTCCATAAAACGTTACTTAAAAACTCCCTATTATTATGAGTTCTATCAAGAATCCACTGACAAAATGTGATCCTTCGTTCTCCGTCCCCTGGCTGTAGTTCTTGCACAGGTTGCAAATGGTAAGGACGTCTATGGTCATTTCTAAGAACACATGGCTTGCTGAAATTCCCAAGGCACCAGAAACTCTCCTAACACTTGTGGTCGGATCTCTATCAAACTCACGCAGAATCATACGGGGAAACCTGCGCTGACGAACATTTATGTTTTGATCCCTTTGGAGATTTCCAAAACCAATTTCAATGATTTGGCGACGCACTCTTAGAAATACTGAGCGAGTTGGATGTCGTCTGTTTGGAAATCTTCGTGCGTATTCTCTGGCTGCTTCTGCTGCGTTTCCATTTACAAAGCCATACACAAAATGAATATCCGCTAACTTTTGATTGGAGAATAAAAATTGCATTTTTATAAAACTTACAAACAAAAACACAATTGCAAAAAAAAGTTTCAGGCTTCAACAGACATCAAAACTAACTGTCAACTAATTGACGTTTAACCTTATTCTGCTTTCAGTTTCAAAAATATTTGCAGGCACATCCTACTTCTAAAAATTATCGAGATACTGACTTTTTAACGTTATTTTATCATAAATAATTAAAAATGCATCGAACCTTAAAAATCGAAATATCTCAAAAAACGGCTAACTATAACGAAATTCATTCATTTTAATACACTACAGGTACAGTAGAGAGCGCCCTCCAGCGGCTACAGTAAAACTATGCCCATGGTTAATTTTGTCGTACCAAAAAACCCTTGTATACCAATTTTCACTGTTATACATCAAATATTGTTCGAAATATTTAAAAAAAACTATTTTAGAAAGTAAATTTAAACACCCTGTATTTCGGAAGCCACGCATTTTTCGACCCATGTTTATATAGACTTTGTGCATTAATTTTAAAAGTTCTATCGAATCTTAAAGTTATGCAACAATAAACTGAAACACCCTGTATATCAGTCTATTAGATACTTCAGTAGGATGCGGTCTCTAATTTTGTACAGAGTGTGAAAATTGTTGTTGTATTTCCAGTTCAAACTTGGATCAATGCTTAGGCCAAGAAATTTAATACTGATAGCATATAATTAATGATATTAGTTAAAGATTTCAGGTCATCGTATTGTTTCTCTATAAATATGCTCATGAGTCTCTATTATCCAAGACGATTTTCAAAATTTATCGTCAATATATGAATATATGAGCAGCTCAATAGTTTCATTAAGTCCATATCCATACTTAGCTTGACCAACAATGCAATGTAAGCATATAGGCTTATCTCCTTTACATCTATTCTAAGTTGTTGGCCGTAGCCGATCGACTATCTGTCCGAGGCAAAAAATTCCAGTGGAGATTTTGCCTGAGTGGGTACCTATTCTGTGAAAACAGTTACTTGTTGACTCACCTACTCCACAGCAACAAGTCTTTGCGCTGGCTGCAGAGCTCACGACACGTGAGTCCGTATCCCCCGGTGCCGTAGCGTTGGACAGAATGGAATCGGTGAGCGCACTGGTGATCTCCAAGGAAATTTCCTTCTGGGACTTGGTGCACGCTGCATGTCTGTTTACCGTTTCGATTGCCTTCCTGGGGTTCATTGCGTCGAAGACCTGAAACAGATGTACAGGGCGGTCCTGGTTTGAATGGGTATAGTTAAATAGCTTTTTCACTTCTTGAAATGAAAGTTCTAAATTGATTGTTTACGGATATACAGGGTGCTTTACCTAAACATACCAAATCTGTAATGTCACAATATCAAGCACTTTTAAAGCGATATTGATTTAATTTTGGACAATAACAAAGTTAACTAGGAGTCGTAGTTGATTTTTTTAATATTAAACTGTTTGACAATGTACATACGAGGGATGTCTTTTAAGTTTTGCATATAGAAACATAGTAGGCCGCGCGGATCGAACGTCAGTACTGAATCTTAACCTCACTCTTTAGTAAACTTAAATTCAAAGTTTCACAACAATACGTGCAGTGTTCTAGCTTCAGAGTAACAGAGCTCAAGGTCATTTAAATATAGACTGAATAGCACAGAATAGAGCCCTGAGCCACGCTTATGGTGATATGAGCAATTTTTGATACAAAAATTCAATAGATTCCCTACTATAATCTAGGTGCATAGGAAAAACGGTTACTATACAGTGACACAGACAGCCTCATATAGCTATATCCAATACATACTTCTCAGTTGTATGGTCTATCCAAATAGTTACATCAAGAGAGTTTCACCGTTTGGTAACATCAATTTATATATATATATATATATTTGGCTAGTTTCGGATCGCGTACTGCTACAATATGTTGAAAACTAGTCAAATCAACAGCAAACTAGGCAAGTTTACAGGTTGAGGATTAATATACTTAAGATGTGGCTAGTTTTGGATCGCGTACTGCTACAATATGTTGAAAACTAGTCAAATCAACAGCAAACTAGGCAAATTTACAGGTTGAGTATTAAAATACTTAAGATGTGGTTATTTTTGGATCGCGTACTGATACAATAAGTTGAAAACTAGTCAAATCAACAGCAAACTACGCAAGTTTACAGGTTGAGTATTAAAATACTTAAGATGTGGCTAGTTTTGGATCGCGTACTGATACAATATGTTGAAAACTAGTCAAATCAACAGCAAACTAGGCAAGTTTACAGGTTGAGCATTAAAATACTTAAGATGTGGGTAGCTTTGGATCGCGTACTGATACAATATGTTGAAAACTAGTCAAATCAACAGCAAACTAGGCAAGTTTACAGGTTGAATATTAAAATACTTAAGATGTGGCTATTTTTAGATCGCGTACTGATACAATATGTTGAAAACTAGTCAAATCAACAGCAAACTAGGCAAGTTTACAGGTTTGGTATTAAAATACTTAAGATGTGGCTAGTTTTGGATCGCGTACTGATACAATATGTTAAAAACTAGTCAAATCAACAGCAAACTAGACAAGTTTAATACAGTGAATTTTCAAGTGTCACCAAGTCATTAGAAAAATGGAACTCAACCGAGAACATTCCCGCGCCAAAATTTATTACAACTTTCAGAGACAATTATCGCAACAATAATGCCTTGCTGAGTTACTGTCTGTTTTTGGCAACGAAGCGCCACATCAGTCGACCATTTCCCGTTGGTAATCTGTATACAAAACAAGTACATTAAAAATGACTTGAAGCCTACTTCACACTGCACTACTAAGAGATCAATAGAAGGGAACTGTAAGTCAAAATTACTCTTCCCAACGACCATCGTATCAATGAAGTCTTTGTCAGCAAGGAGAACACCATCTCCAGTTTCTTTCCTGAGGATTCCGAACTTTCCTATGAACTGTGCAAATATTGGCGAATAGTTCTGAGCTCGAAACACTAACACTCAACCAGGTTTCACTCAACGCGATTAGGTCAAACTCACTCTCAGAAACAGAACAGTTGAAGATGTACTGTTAAGACCTCGTACATTATAGTGACACAATATGTTACGCTGACAGGAACTACTGGTACTGTTGGGGGTATTTAGTTTAAAGACTTAACAATTTTAGGAATATGTACCTAGCTACAAGACAGGCAATGTGGTTTATCCATGATAGTAGTCACTTTAGTGTAGTTGCTCAGTTTTTAACAGTAGCATATGAAGACCGCTGAATTGGTCGAGGTGGACTTCAATTACGGCCTGCTCGAACCTCGGACTTAAACCCCCTGGATTTTTCCCTTGGAGCATCTCACGTCATCCCTTGGAAGATGTGGACGATTTAACAGATCGGATAATTGATAGGCGTAATAAAAGGTGACCTTGGAGTTCGGGAGTCGATGAGGAGAAGATTGAATGGTTACATCCGAGCTGGAGATATTTTGTACAATTCTTGTAGATCAAGAAATGATACTTGTAATTGTTGGTCATACATTGTTATTGTTGTTGCAAATTTGAAGGGTACTATGAAGTTTTGCAATATGACTTAACAAACGGACGCAGGAGGCTGCCGGTTAGTGCATGTTGAGACATGTCCATGAGTGCATAGTAGCCGCCAGCAGTAACTCTGTTGATTCAGTTGTTCATTCGGATGGACAGTGTGCAGACTATTGCATCGTGGTCACGTAGTGAGATAGGGGCAGTTTTACGGTATAACCTTACGCGTGGTTTAAGCGTAAACCAGTACTTAGAAGGAATTACGCTTGCATTAAAGAATGATTATCCTCATCGTACGACTACATTCAGGTGATATAGAGAATTCCAAAGAGGCAATTTCACTCTGGAGGAAGGTATCCAAGGAATAACCTCTATTATATTTGAAGCACATTTAACAAACCTCCTGTATCTAAATAAACAGCTTATTGCCCAACAGATCCAAAATCCCATTGTAGGACGATATTGCTATATTATGTCAGATGAAAGACAAAGAAATATCAGGGCCCAAAACGCTTGTATCGTGCTTTCATACTCCTTTTATACTGATCCTCATTCCTCTACTGCCTCTGCGGAACAACGCTACAGTCTCCGCGCTAAGAGATTAATACATCTTAAATTTATGAACCGTCATGAATCAATATTTGAAATAGTGGTTTCGTTAAAGGTATCTTGGTTTAGTTTACACAAGGGGGATTTGAAAAAAGTGGAAAAAAGCAGAGGCAATTTATGGAGAAATTGCGATGGTAATTACCGTCAAGAGACTGACGGTGCGGTTCTTTAGAATCGGGGTTTCCTAGAGGGTAAGCGGTAGTGGAGGGATATATTCATCTGTGCCGTTTCAATTATATTTGAAGGTCAGAACATCATTAGCTTTGTGTAATAATACTGTAACAGATGGTTTTAGACATTCTTACAGATCGTCAATGTAGTATAATGGACCAGAATGCATCTCTGAAGGCTGAAATAGAATGTTTGCATAAATTGTTAGAGTATAACATGTAGTATTTATTCTTTCTTGATCAGAAGCATGCCTAGGCGCGTTGGAGAATGCGTAGCACTTCAGGGTGCATCCACACATTATCAAAGGTCAAAGGGCTTTAAAGCAGTGCAATCATTTTGAAATTTTTATCATTTACTTGTTATGCTTCATTAAGTACTAATACAAAATTTTATTAAAATAAACCCATTTAAACTGGGTGTTCGAATTTATATGTCACTTAGTATATAAACATGATGCAATTTCTGAAAAAAAAAACAATTTATAAATATATTTTCTTTATTGCTAATCTACGATACAAACTTAATGTACATATTACATTTTATACTATGCATATAGATTTTTGGTCCAATCAATTTATTGTAACTACTCGTACTACGTTATATGTAACATATGTTGTGTTACAATGATTTCCACATACAAGGATATTTTCCTGTTGCGGCATTTTAGTTTATTCGCAATTAGTAATTGATGTGTATTATTAATCTGCTATAGGAAACAAATGGCTATCTGATAATTTCAAGACCTACCTAGGAAATCATATTGTTTAATAGCAAATATTTGTCAATGTCAATGCCATATCATACATTTTTGGAGAATCAGTATTAAAAACCCATTGCAAAAATCCAATATGGCGGCTATAAGAAAAATAAAATGAAAAAAAAGTAGCAATCTTATTGTGCAATCTATTTTGAAATCCTAAAGTCAGGAAAAAATCAAAGCGATTTTGGGAAAATTGTTTTTTTTTCTGTTAGTAATTTGAATTCTGAAACTTTCTAAGCGGCATTTTATTAATTTCCTAAATATACAACTTTGCCTCCTCTATCTCTTACCGTTTCCGATATCCTAATGGTGAAGCATGAATTTGAAACACTCGGTATGTAGGTTACACATTCACCAAGATGTAAAAGAAGGTATTTTGTGTCAAACAGAATCAAGTGGGCGAAATTTACTTCAGTTTATTTTAACTACCATAGACAAGGTTTGTTACATCATTTCAAAATCATCCCACATTCTGATAATCTCTCTAATTCCAGATTTCCCTAATTGAAAAAGTGTTGGAATAACCTCTTTGGTAAAATTCTGCTTTTAATCTTCTAGGCAGAATCCTTAAATGTTCGATTATCAATATCATCAAAGAGATGCCTACCTCTCGTCGACTCCTTTCACTTGGCACTGTCCCTAGCTCCTTACTTAGAGCTCTGTCTATCAAGTTTACAATGTAGCTCTTAGATCGGTGTAGTTCTAGGGCACATACGTCATCTAGAGGCTGCACTTTTGGTCCAGTTGACGTTTTTGCACCACCTGAAGATTTATTTTGTTTAATATCAATTCACTAGAAGGGAAAAAATGAAATAAAAATACCTAGAAGTACTGATTAGAGAAGTTACGATTTTTTGAGAACGGAAAATCACCGCCGCGCCCGCATTCTGTTTAATTAAGCCTCATGACAGAAACATCAGGAATGATGCATCATCACACACGTACAACATTTTCGCAGTGCCTCACAACTACACACTTTTTCACTTGTCATCGCAAAATAAATCTCTATAAAGTATAAACGACTGAAAATGAAAAATAATGTAAAATTTAATAACCTTTTCATGTTTCATGAAAATTTCTGTCTGTAGCTTATTTCTCACTTATTAGTTGTAATACAACTACAATATGAATTTTACTAAAGGGGCTAAGGTATTTCATCCGATATATAAAAACATTTCAAATTTCCTGATTGTTGTATTCACGCACAAAGTGGGTTGAATATTTCATTACTTTTATGTCACCTTTCTGATACTCTTATTTAAAAGGGTTTTTAATTATGTCTGACAATGCTAAAAGAGTGTCAGATGAAACCTTAAATCAGATTTTGTTAACTTTTACAAACTATTTAGAAATATGACCTTATCAATCCAAACTAATTATAGTAAATCCTCGTATCGACCCTTTTTACATATGAAGGGTACAGGCAAATAACAGAATTTTCTAATGAACTGATTTTGAAAAAAATGCAGTTGGAAGTTTGATAGTAACGGGTAATTTTTTAAGAGGTATAGGATTTGATTTTCAAATAAAACACAAAAAAATTGAAAAAACGATCAAATCTTTATTTGAGTCGATAGAACGGTCGATATAATTTAATGTTTAATGATTATTTCATGTAAATGTTGGCCGCGGCTCCGCTTTAGATGGCCCATGCGCAAGGTCCAATTTTGGCACACTCTCCAACATATCGGCCGGTATCTCACGAATAAATTCTTCAATATTGGTTTCCAGTGCGTCAACCGTTGCTGGTTTATCCCTGTAGACATTAGCCTTAACATGGCCCCACAAGAAATAGTCCATAAACTGTTCACCGAACTCGCCTCTCAATAGGGCCATTGTTTCGTGTGCGGTGTGGCATGTGGCACCGTCTTGTTGAAATCACATGTCAGCCAAGTCCAGCTCTTCCATTTTGGGCAAAAAAAAGTTCATTATCATCGCACGGTAGCGCTCGCCATTCACAGTTACGTTCCGGCCATTGTCGTCTTTGAAGAAGTATGGCCCGATGATGCCACCGGCCCATAATCCACACCAAACAGTGATTTTTTCGGGATGCATTGGTAGCTCTTGCAATGCTTCTGGCTGATCATCACTCCAGATGCGGCAATTTTGCTTGTTAACGTACCCATTCAACCAGAAATGAGCTTCGTCGCTGAACACAATTTTTCGATAAAAATGTGGATCTTCCTCCAACTTTGCCAGCGCCCATTCACCAAATTGGAAACGTTGTAGGAGGTCGTGTGGCTTCCATTCTTGTACCAGCTGTATCTTATAAGGTTTTACACCCAAATCCTGTCGCAAAATTTTCCACGTAGTGGAGTAACAGAGGCCCAATTGCTGCGAACGGCGGCGAATCGACATTTCACGGTCATCACTAACACTGGCGGATACACCCGCAATATTTTCTTCCAGTCCTCACTCTACGTCTGCGTGTTGGTGGTTTAATGTCCAATAATGCAAACTGGGTTCGAAATTTAGTCACAAGCTTCCGAATAGCTCCTCCCTCAGTAGGCCGACCAAATTGCCCATAAATTGGAAACAGTGCTCGATGCACTCTCTTAACCGAGCATGAACTTTGGTAGTAAAATTCAATAATTTGCCAGCGTTGTTCGTTCGTAAGTCGATTCACGGCTAAATTATATACCAAAGTTAACAAGTTTGACAACGACACAAGACACGATTCACGCGTCATCTGTCAAAAACAGTGTTGCCAAAAAGATACTAGCAAAAAAATCACCCATTATTATATTTTTATTGAGATCAGAGTATGCTGTATTTTTTACTTAGAACTAACTAAATGTTTTATATCTAATATGATTTGGTTGTTGATATTGGACCTTTCTCAGTTCTCTTTGTTTCCGCCATACACAAAAATGTCTTTTTGGCGGTCTCTGATTACTTATTTTGAAGGCTAATGATTGGGAATTAAAATATCATATACAGGGATTCGCTTCTAATGGGAAACTAAAAAAAAATAAAAACAGTCATTCCCTATTCTTTGCCGCCAGATGGTGCATCAACTAGCTTGAAAAGACAAAGAGACAATGTCGTGGGTAGGAATGAATTTCCAACTCAGTCGACTTTGAATGTCGGTTGACAGCTGAATTGGTTAGATCGTCTCCACGTAATGGAGGATGTGCTGGTTCGAATCCCGCAGGCGCCCATTTTCCAGATCCATTTATCGGTTAAAATAGCACGGAGATGAATCAAGGAGTTCCAGAAATTACAAAAATCCGTCTTACCCGCTGAGCGAGTCTTCTTGACGTCGCCTGTGGTGATGTTGGATATATTACCAGCAGAACTATGGTATGGTTCGACCTCGCTCTGAGATCGTAACATTTGGGTAGTGATGTCCTTGTAGTTGAAGCTCTTGTCTGATATTACCGTGTTTGTGTCGTGATGCCGCCTCCTAGCCTGAGAAAAAATAAACATTTTACCATAATTCCAATATTTTAAAATCTAAATGTAAAAAATGCCATCAAAAAAGTCGCCAAGGTAACAGTGAATATGTACGGTGTATGTGATTGAGAAATCGGTTAATTATTTGAATTTGTTTGTTTAAGATTTGTTTAACATGGTTGCTACAACTACATTCTTTTGAAAAACTACAACAACTACATAAAATATAGGTATTTAGAAAGACAAAATTTGCATCTTTCAGAATTTTTACTGTCCATAAAATATTCCTTTAATTTTATTTCAAACATCTTTAAATTGCAAGTAGACTTTATATCATTATTTAGTTTATTAAATTCACGTAATTATCACTGAAATGATTCGTTAGTTATAATACTATTGCAATTTTCTAAATGAAAATCTATATTTCCTCTTGTATAATAATTATGGTAATGATTATTCAATTCCATGTAGGTTCTAAATGCTGTAGCAAAAGACGATTTGTTATTTTAAATATAAAAATAAGAACAAAATATGATCTGCATTTTTTTATATTAAACCTTTGCAATTCTTGTAAGGTAGATTTTATTTCGGTGTACTTATTTTTATTAAATATTATTCTCATAGCTTTATTTTGCAGAGCTTGTAATTTTGAGAATACAGTACTACGACTATGGAATCAAAGTAATTTTTTTTTACAATTTTAAAAAAATGTAGTCATAGTGATCCTCAAACCTCAGTTTACTATCAATATACAGTAACGGACAAAAGTATATAGATAAATTAATATTGTGCTGTATTTCGTTTTTAACTTGTTTTATTGATACACCAACTTGTATACATAGTTCATCATGACATAATACTCACTTATACATAAATTAGACTCCCTCCAATAAAAAATTAATTGAAAAAATATGGAACTATGAAAGACAAAAATATATAGACAAAGCAAAACAATCATAGAAAAAAGAAGCAAAGTTCATTGAATTATAGAAAACCAAACATGTTTGTGTTAATATCTTGTAGCATAACCATCATTATCAATCACCGCCTGGCATCGTCTAGGCATAGATTGTAGAAGTTTCTTGATATAAGATTCATCAATCTGTCTCCACTTTTGCTCTAAAGCGGCAAAAAGTTCATTCTTGTTTGAATAATTTTTTTCTCGTATTTGCTTATCTAAGTATTCCCATAGATTTTAAAAGGGGTTTATAGCGGAAGACTGTGAAGGCCATTTGATAACAAGTATTTTTTCATCCAGATAGAATTTCTTTGCGAGGTTTGAAGTGTGCTTCGGGTCATTATCTTGCTGGAAGATTGATCTTAAGGGCATATTGTCTTCCATATAGGGTAACATGACATGCTTTAGTATGTCTGTGTATACAAACTTATCCATAATGCCATCTATTCTATGGAAAGGTCTCATCCCAAACGCCGAAAAGCACTCCCAAACCAGACCCGCCTCCATGTTTCACAGTGGGCAAAGTGTACTTGGGGCTCAATCTTTGTCCACTAGGACGTCTATCTGATCCAAACATATTGAACTTGGATTCATCACTAAAACATACCCTCTTCCAGTCACAGATGCTCCAATTAAGATACATCCGTGCAAATTGTGATCGGCCCTTACGGTTTTTCCTCAAGATAAGCAACATCATACTTTTATTAATCTAACTGATCTAGCATTTAGTTCTCTAGGCCGACTACTTCTCTTAGAGGCTTCCAAGATACATTTTCGTTTATATTTGTTCAATATTGCCCAAACTGCTTCACGCTTTAGCTTCAAATTTTTGGCAATGTCGACTTGACGTTGACCATCTTTGTATGACTCAATGATCTTAGTTTTCACAACGAGAGAAATTTCTGGACCACGCGGCATGGTCTTAAAATCACTCAACTTATTCCACAATACCTGATGAACATAAACTAACCCTCTTCTGACACGAAACTGTACTAAACTAATGTTGAAAAGAATTTGTCTACATATTTTTGTCCCTCATATAAAGTGCTTATACTCAGACTTGTATTGTGTTCATTGCAGATAATGTAAAAATAAGGAATTCAGTTTTTCTACTAATAACGCATTCGTTTATGGAGCAATGAAGTATGAAATCGTTTTCTAAAGGTATTTAGGTAAATATCTACATTTTTGTCTATATACTTTTGTCCATTACTATATATACCTAAATACTTAACTGATTTAACATTTGCAATTACTTCTCCATCTACCCTAACTGTGATAGTATTTTCATTTAGGTATTTCCTCATTAGCATACATTTTTAGAAGCAATCGACTTTAGTTTATTTACATTTAACCAAATTATGATTTTTCCCAAATCAGTTATTTAGCATTTTTAAATCGGCGTCTATATTTTCGTCTGATATATATATATATATATACAGGGTGTTTCAGTTTATTGTTGCGTAACTTTAAAATTCGATAGAACTTTTAAAATTAATGCATAAAGTCTATATAAACATGGATCGAAAAATGCGTGGCTTCCGAAATACAGGGTGTTTAGATTTACTTTTCAAAATAGTTTTTTTTTTAATATTTCGAACAATATTTGATGTATAACAGTGAAAATTGGTATACATCGGTTTTTTGGTACAACAAAACGAACCGTGGTAGTGTAGTGTATTCAAATGATCGAACAACTTTTCCTAGTGCAATTTATTGCTTTTTGAATAAAAAAATGGATTCTTCGCACTTTTCTGTGAGTTTTCGTTAGTTAGCCGTTTTTGAGATATTTCGATTTTTAAGGTTCGATGCATTATTAATTATTTATGGGAAAATCATATTTTTTTACATTTTCGATTTGGGCATTACAAGTAATTAAGATGATCGTTTAGATTATGTTTTTAAACATAACAATAATTCCTAACTCCAAATAAACACAAAAAACAGAATATTAATTTGTTTAATTTTCCAATATTATTTTTAACAAATTAAATTAATTATTTACAACTAAAATGCTATTGAATAGTTACGACAAACATACAAAATCTAAATTAGTTGCTCGAAATGCAAACCCAATTGTTCAATACACAATTCACATCTACGAATGATCGAACGTGGTATAGCATTATTCAAATAAGGCCTTATTTCATCACATGCATTCCTGATTCTGTCTATTGGCATATCTCTTGTGGTTACGGGAATCTGGTACACTATTTCTTTTAGAAATCCCCACACGAAGAAATCTAATGGATTTAGGTCAGGGGATCGTGGAGGCCAGGCGACTGGTCCTCCACAGCCGATCCATCTTTCTGGATAATTTTCGTACAGCCAGTTTCTAACTATTCTCGGATAATGAGCTGGACAACCATCAAGCTGGAACCAGGCCAATCTTTTTAAATCTAACATAACATCATCCCACATATTTGCATGTTCAGCCTTTAAAAATTCCAAGAAGGTCGCAGCCTTTAACCTTGCAGGCAAAAGGTAGGGTCCAAATAGTCGATTACGGTAGATACCAATCCACACGTTCACACTAAATTCATGCTGAAAATTTCTTTCCCGAACTGCATGCGGATTTTCATGCGATATGTTGATTATGAAAATTTACCACTCCACGTCTAGAGATCCATAAAACGTTACTTAAAAACTTCCTATTATTATCAGTTCTATCAAGGATCCACTGACAAAATGTGATTATTCGTTCTCCGTCTCCTGGCTGTAGTCCTTGCACAGGTTGCAAATGGTAAGGACGTCTATGGTCATTTCTAAGAACACGGTGAACATGGCTTGCTGAAATTCCCAAGGCACCAGAAACTCTCCTAACACTTGTGGTCGGATCTCTACTCTTACAAATATTGAGCGAGTTGGATGTCGTCTGTTTGGAAATCTTCGTGCGTATTCTCTAGCTGCTTCTGCTGCGTTTCCATTTAGAAGGCCATACACAAAATGGTTATCCGCTAACTCTTGATTGGAGAATAAAAATGGCATTTTTATAAAACAAACAAAAAAAAAACAGGCAAAAGTAACTAAATTTCGTGCATTCACAATTGCAAAAAAACGTTTCAGGTTTCAACAGACAACAAAACTGTCAACTAATTGACGTTTAACCTTATTCTGCTTTCAATTTCAAAAATATTTGCAGGCACAGCCTACTTCTAAAAAATATCGAGATACTGACTTTTCAACGTTATTTTATCATAAATAATTAAAAATGCATCGAACCTTAGAATCGAAATATCTCAAAAACGGCTAACTATAACGAAAATTTACAAGAGAGCTTTTTTATGTTGCAAAGTGCGAAGAATCAGTTTTTTTATTCAAAAAGCAAAAAATTGCACTAGGAAAATTTTTTCGGTCATTTTAATACACTACAGGTACAGTAGAGAGCCCTCTAGCGGCTACAGTAAAACTATGCCCACGGTTCGTTTTGTCGTACCAAAAAAACCCTTGTATACCAATTTTCACTGTTATACATCAAATATTGCTCCAAATATTTAAAAAAAAACTATTTTAGAAAGTAAATTTAAACACCCTGTATTTCGGAAGCCACGCATTTTTCGACCCATGTTTATATAGACTTTATGCATTAATTTTGAAAGTTCTATCGAATCTTAAAGTTATGCAACAATAAACTGAAACACCCTGTATATATATATATATATATATATACAGGGTGTGCGCAAGGTTGGGGTTTTCCTTTACACGACGTGTAGATCTTGAAAACATAAGCAATTTTTCTTAGTACCATATACACCAATGTCTTAAGGGAACCGAGATAAAGGGCTCTGCAACATCAAAAATATCTGAATACCGTCCTGTAGCCGCGACCCGCCGCGATATCCCAGACTGGTACCGGCTACTAGCTGAACCCGACGACAGAACTGGGTCGGGGGTCGGGATCAGTGTGTCAGGTCAGTGTGCAACCTTCAACCGACGGTAAAGGGTCACGCGTATAGAGGTAACGAACCCGTATAATCGATTGCGTTTCAAAAAAAAAAAAATAATAATGGCACACTCATACACCAATAATGAACTCGTTGATATGTTGTTAATTTATGGCGAATGTCTTCAAAATGCTACAGAATCGTCGCGAGTGTATGCAGATCGTTTCCCTAGACGACATCATCCAAGGCCCCGCAGATTTGTGTACCTGGTCCAGAGAGTCAGGGATACGGGCCATTTGGAGGAATTTCGAGGTGGGCACAGTGGGAGGCCTAGACAACCACGAATGGTGCAAGTTGAGGAAGAACTACTGAATCGCGTAGACGAGAATCCCTCAACAAGCACTAGAGACGTGGCTAGAGAAGTGCAAGTATCAAAAACTAAAGTGTGGCAAACGTCCAACGTGTACAAGCCCTGACGATTTTCCAGCAAGGGTGCGGTTTTGTGAGTGTTTGTTGCATCAACATGACAATAATCCGGACTTTTTGAAGTGCATATTGGTGACAGACGAATCTACGTTCACGCGTAATGGGGTGAATAACTTTCGATTTCAGGCAGAGACGTAATTAGCCCTTCTCGTCAACTGGAAAGTGAGTACTTTTTCCTTTCTTTTTTTTTACTTGGTCGCCCTCGTTTCACCACATATTACCTTTGTTATTTCAAGGGTAGTTGTTTCTGAAAAGGAAAACCCCAACTTGCCAATTGAGTAGTTTTGTAGAATTTTGAGTATAGATCCTTTAAATCCGTAATGATGCAATTTTGTAAGTAACTTATCCCTAACAGTAGTTCCAAACGCCCCTTTGAAGTCCAAAAACACTGTCACTGTATGTCTCCTACTGTCGGTACATCTCCTCCAGTCCTCTAAAACCATTTGTATAGTCCTTCCAGTTGAGTATTTATTCGTGGATAAAATTTCTTGAAAGTCTTTTTTAACATCTGGCAGAACATTTATTGACAGCATACTGGTGTACAACTCTTAACTTTAAACAATAATTATGGTAGAAAACTTCAGTTTTGTTGTAAATTCGGCGTATTTTAAACAGTAATTTATCAGGATTAATATTCTTGCTCCAGAAATATCAGAACATCCATTAAGCACCCTTTTATACAAAATCTCACTCTGATTTGATCTCAATTTTGATATAAGGCGATTAATGTTTATTGTTCTAATTTCACTGAATGATTCATTATAATCAGATCTAATGGCACATTGGTTGGGGTCCCCGTCAATAATTGACCTTACGATGTCACTGAGACGTCCTATGAAATGCTACAGAATCACACTTTTAATCTTATTTCTATATTTAAACGCAAGCTCTTGACCGAACGTCGTCATTTGCGACTTGTAACCAGAAAAGCCTTTCTTGATTGGTCAGTTCGATGTGAAATGACAGTCCCTTGTTCTAACTGTCATTTACTGTCAACCTGACTGCTTGATGTTTGATCAGCTCAAAAGAAGAATTGCTGTTTTTACAACTTTCTCGCTTAGTTCAGACCACACTTGGTGCTAGATGTATAGCTTGCCTGAGTGCAATCAACAATGACTGAAAGAGGTTTGTTTTCAAAATGTGCAGTCAGAAAATAGTATTAAAAATATTGTGACATAACTTCTTTGACATTATAATTTTTCTAATATTTCCCTTACCTCATCGTCAGTTGACATCTCTATCACTTTGTCGAACTCCAATTGCTGCTTCGTCCCAGCTTTCTCCTTAGGACATTCCTTAGACGTCGATGTTGATGCAAACTCGCACTTCTTCAGTTGATTGAGCAACCGATCCAGTGAGTCAGCTGTCGCTTCGCGGCTTCTGGGCTTAGTTGTAGGTTTCGCTATGTTGTACTGCCTCTCTATGGAATCGTCTCTTGTTTGCTTCTGAGTCTTCTGTCCTTTCTTTTCCTTGGCCTTAACAGATGCTGGTACCTTTTAATAGATTATCATGAATTAAATGAAGAATCAAAGAATCGTTTGTCCAATATCAAGTTCAATGACTGGTCTTTTGATACCCTAGCAGCTGCGAAAGCAGAAAACATAAAGGAAGATGGAAATAATTTATACGACGTTTTGTGTTAGAGAGAAAGTGACTAACATACAGTAATGGACAAAAGTATATAGACAAATATGAATATTTACCTAAATACCTTTAGAAAACGAATTCATACTTCATTGCTCCATAAACAAATGCGTTATTAGAAGAGAAACTAAATTCCTTGTTTTTACATTATCTGCAATGAACACAATGCAAGTCTGAATATAAGCACTTCTTTATGAGGGACAAAAATATGTAGACAAATTGTTTTCAACATTAGTTTAGTACAGTTTCGTGTCAGAAGAGGATTAGTTTGTGTTCGTCAAGTGTTGTGGAATAAGTTGAGTGATTTTAAGACCATTCCGCGTGGTCCAGAAATTTCTTTCGATGTGAAAACTGAGATTATTGAGTTATACAAAGATGGTCAGCGTCAAGTCGACATTGCCAACAATTTGAAGCTGAAGAGTAAAGCAGTTTGGGCAATATTGAACAAATATAAACAAAAAGGTATCTTGGAAGCCTCTAAGAGAAGTGGTCGGCCTAGAAAACTAAATGCTAGATCAGTTACATTAATAAAAGTAATTTCGTCCAAAGATCCGTTTAAAGCCCCAAGACAAATAAAAGCCGAAATCGAGACAAAAGGAATTGCCAGTGTTTCTACAAAAAGTATAAGTAGAAGATTGAATGATTTGAAGTTATTTGCACGTCGCCCGATTAATAAGCCGCTAATCTCGAGGAAAAAACGTAAGGACCGATTACAATTTGCACGGTTGCATCTTGATTGGAGCATCTGTGACTGGAAGAGGGTATGTTTCAGTGACGAATGCAAGTTCAATATGTTTGGATCAGATGGTGTTCATTACGTTAGATGTCCTAGTGGACAAAGATTGAACCCCCAGTACACTTTGCCCACTGTCAAACATGGAGGCGGGTCTGTTATGGTTTGGGGGTGCTTTTCGGGGTCTGGGATGGTACCTTTACATAGAATAGATGGCATTATTGATAAGTTTGTATACACAGACATACTAAAGCATGTCATGTTACCCTATATGGAAGACAATACGCCCTCAAGATCGATCTTCCAGCAAGATAGTGACCCAAAGCACAATCAATCAATCAATCAATAACCTTTATTTCCATACAGACAATATATAATTGTATTGGAATTGTCAATTTTTCGTTCGCTACAAACCTACAATTAATCTCAAATTGCAATGTTCAAAAATTCATCAACACGATAAAAGCACTTGTTTATCAAAAATTGCTTCAATTGGAACTTGAACTGGTTAATATTCCTAACCGAGGTAATATGGCGTGATCAATTATTAAAAAGAAGCGGACCAATTTTATTAGGTGATCGAAATGCCGCTTTTGACTTGCTGAAGTTTACATATAACTTATTACAAGTCCTTGTATCATAATTATGCATATCACAATTTCGCTTGAATTTTTCACTATTTTTAAAAACATGTAAGCACAATTCATATATATATATACAACGATGGGATAGTTAAAATTTTTAAACTTATAAAATATTTTTTGCAACTTTCTGTTGGTGAGATGCCTGCTAATGATCGGATGCATCTTTTTTGAGATACAAATACATCTTCAGACCGCGTTGACCAACCCCAGAAACATACGCCATATCTTAATCTCGAATCCAAATTATGCAAAATAAACTTGTATCAATTGTTCAGCTGTTAAGATGGTTTTTAGTTGCCTCAATACATAGCCTTGAGAGTACATTTTTTATGTGAGAAATTCGCAGTGGGCCTTCCAATTTAAGTTCGAATCAAAATGAACTCCAAGAAATTTGACTTCTCTAAAATCGAGTTGATCGTCACCCAATCTAACTTGAAACTCTTCTACAGATTTTTGAGCATGATAAAAACGAATAAGCGTTGTTTCGGAAGGATTCAAGTAAAGTGAGTAGGTACTGGTTAAACCATGTATTAATATTCTAAATTCAGTTGTTACATTTATTTTCCAAAATTATATTTGAATTACTTGATATTATGGCAGAAACGTCATCAGTATATGCTGGATGAACATTGTGAAACTGATTAATGTATAAGAGGAAAAATATTGGTCCAAGAAGAGAGCCCTGGGGGACTCCAATCGAGATGTCTAACGTACTTGACACAAAGTTTTTCATATTGTTCCCTGCATCAAGATATCGTTCTGAAACATATTGTTTTCTTTGGACTAAAAACGATCTGGCCCATTTAAGAGACTGACCGACAAAACCATATTTAACAACAATCTCCAATAATTTGTTGTGATCAACGCAGTCGAATGCCCTACTGAGATCACAAAGTACCCCAGTAGGGCACTCGTCCGCGTCGATGTATTCTATGAGCTTCTCATAAAAGGAATGTATGGCTGACATTGTGGTCTTACCATCTGTGAAACCATGCTGGTTTTGAGACAAAATATTGTCCTTCTTAAGATGTAGAAGAAGTCTATCCAAAAAGGCAAATTTAAACACTTTAGAAAGTACAGGCGGCACAGTGAATGCCCTGTAGTTTGTAATATCAAGCTCGTTCCCCTTTTTTAGAATTGGTATAACTTTTCCTAGTTTCAGCCTACTTGGGACCTAACTCAGAAAGTTAGGAATGTCATAACCGCAAGATTTGGATTTTTTTAATTTTTTTAAAAGTAAGTTACTGAGCTCATTATCTGTATAAGTTTAAAGTTTGAAATAATTTTTAACATTAAATTTGAAATCAGGTGCACTATCTGAGGTATTAATTTTTTGTATTATATCATCTCGTGCATTTTTAAAAAAATCTTGAACATATTTGCCAACAGCTGAGGGTCGTATAATTTTTCATTTTGATCTTTACGTAGAACTATATCTTTTCGAACCTTGTTCTCATTTTTTGTTGCATTGACCACTTTCCAGCACGCTTTGGTGGTATTTTTAGACAATACAATTTTGTTTTGGTAGAATGATCTTTTTGTGTCTCTGATCAATTTTTTATGTGGCTTTATAGCATCATTAAACAGTGACTTTAGTCTTGGATTTTTTTGTGAAGTATGATATAAATCTTTCAAATTATTGCTTGAATTTCTTACGTTATGTGTAACCCAACTTTTTGAGCCGTTTCCCTTACAGGCTCTATGTAAAGGAAAATGATTATTAAAATAGTACAAAAAGATATTTCACACTTCAAATCTCGCAAAGAAATTCTTTCTGGATGAATTTCTCAAATGGCCTTCACAGTCTCCCGATATAAAGCCCATTGAAAATCTATGGGAATACTTAGATAAGCAAATACGAGAAAAAAACAAGCAAGAACTTTTTGCTGCTTTAAAGCAAAAGCGGAGACAGATTGATGAATCTTATGTCAAGAAACTTCTACAATCTGTGCCAAGATGATCCAGGCGGTGATTAATAATAAAGGTTATGCTACAAAATATTAACACAAACATGGTTGGTTTTCCATAATTCAAGGAACTTTGCTTCTTTTTTCTATAATTGTTTTGTTTTGTCTTTATATTTTTGTCCTTCATAGTTCCAGTTTTTTCAATTAATTTTTTATTAAAGGGAGTCTAATGAATTTATTTATGTATAAGTGAGTCTTATGCTATAACGAACTATGTATACAGGTTGGTGTATTAATAAAACAAGTTAAAACAGGAATACAGCACAATATTGATTTGTAAATATACTTTTGTCCATTACTGTACGAAGAAAGCGACTTTGATGCTAAAATCGTTCCTTGAGAGACAAAGAGGAAGAACTCTGGCCTGCAACCAAGTCGGCTACCCAACTGTAAAGAAAAGCATTTTGCATGATGATCATGCTTACATAGGCAGAAATCTGAATATCGTAGCACGGCGACTTGCACAGGCATATTGTTTCACCACCTTGATACCTTATGAATAAAGGAGCTAGTTTTTGTTGTTCTTGATGTCAAGAGACCAGAGTACCCATCTGGTAGTTGATCTAAAAATGAGTAGACTCCACAATATTGGTTGTAAGTCAAGTTGTTCTCTTGTGATGGAAGCTAAAGCAGCAAAGAAGCGTGAGAGACTTCCCCATAGTTCTATCATTTACTGACAGGTCTTCAAGGATGTAGTTGATGGAATCTGGTAGTAGTCCTGTTGATCATGAACAAACTTTTTGTCAGAAAGGAGAATATGTTTTATGTTGAGGTTGAGCCTTAGCAAAAGATCGGAGAAATAGATAACTGAGGAAACGATGAACTATGCCTTACTCTTGGCTTGAGATACTTTGATATCTTTGTAACATCACCCCTACTACTGCTTTTCTTCGCCAAGCTGCCAGCTTCAATTTTTTCAAGCATTTCATCTAAGTTAGCCGTACTGAAGTTAACGTCTCCTTCAGAATCCATCTTGTGGGGCATTAGGTTGCTGATTCTCTGCTTGTTGATGGCGGTGTCAGGCTGTTCCAAACTTTGGTAGACCTCCTAGAAAAAGTGGTACTCCTCATAAACTTGCAGGATAGAGCCAGTTTGGTGGCGTCTAGGAAATGTGAGCAACTCGTGAAGATTGAAAGCACTGTAAGTGAAATCAATCCAGTGATCGTTACGTTTTATTGGCATAAGCAAAAGTATGTAGATACTGATAACAGTGGTCAGCATGACTTTTTGCCGACAATTCAATAGCGTGTTTTCGGTATCTCTCATGTCTATAAAAAATCATACAAAAGTTTTGTCAAGTCGAAATATCTAAGTGGTTAACGATTAAAGATTAACTTTACACTTAAAAGATTTTGACCATCTATCTGGAATTAGTATTGTGACTGGGCATACTGATAAAGAAAAAATTGTTACTTATAAGAACGTTTATATTGGTTTATTGTGGCTTAATATTGCTAACTCTCGACGATCTCATATTTGTAGTGCTTTTTCAATGGGTAACTGCAAATTGAGATGAGTTTTTTTAGTTTACTTTCATAAGTTCGAATTTTAACAAAATGCATAAATTTCTCGAACTTCATTTGTTTCACTTGTGGGGATTTTATTTCGTGATCTAACCAAGAACGACCGTCACTTAACATTTGTTGCAATTAGTATTCTGGTTTCAATATTTCTTATACGATTCAAAAAAGCTGGGCCTCCAGTTAATTCTGCTACACACCCATCAGTGACCTTTTCTAAGCATGCAATTTGAGGAAAACTAACAGATATAACTAAAGAATAATATTTGTTACTTTACATAATATGGCTACGATCACAATGAAACTAGTATTTCATTGGATTTATTACTATAAACAATACTGTTTCCTCCAATAGTAAACGATTAAATTTGTTAAAAAAGTGAACAAAGCCCTTAAGCACTGTGGATTCATTAATCTGATTTTTTATTGATTGCTGGACAAGAAAGTTTTATTAGGTATTCCAAAATCGATTCTATATTAACAAATAATTCTCCCAAAGATAACTTTTGATTAATACAAAAGCACTTTTCAACATATACTAAGTGACATATAAATCCGAACACCCAGTTTAAATGGTTTTATTTTAATAAAAGTTTGTGAATGTATTTATCTTACTGTAAATAACAAGTGAAAAGATTTTCAGCCTTATCAGTTGGACACTCCGGTTTTTATACTGCTTTTTTTTTAATTCACTAACGCTCTAAAAATGAATATTTCAGCCGCAGTAAAGAATCAACGTTGGCGGATTTTGGTTCTTGACATCCTTTACGATGGGTTACGATGCCTAGAGTTCGGAGACCTGTACGATTTCGTCAACTTAGTGAGTTTGATAGGGGCCGTATAGTGGGACTTCGGGAAGCTGGACTTTCTTTTCGGGCAATTGCAGTTAGAGTGCAAAGAAGTGTAGACACTGTGGTTAGGTGTTGTCAGGCATGGCTTCCAGAAGGCCGTACGCAAAGAGCAAGGGGCACTGGACGCCGCCGTAGAACAATAGACCGTGAAGATCGCCGCCTAAGATTATTGGCCTTAAGGGACCGTTTCTCCACTACCAGGTCCATTGTAAATGAATGGTTTGCAGAACACGGAAGACCTATTGGCATGCGAAGTGTTTACCGACGAATGAGAAGTTTTGGCTTGTTTTCATACCGGCCACACTGGGTCCTCCCTCGAGAACACCGACGTAATCGCCTTGAGTGGTGCAGACAACGGCCACTCTGGGATCAGGAATGGAACAGTATTGTCTTTAGTGACGAGTCTCGATTTTGTTTAGGCATGCACGATGGTCATGCCAGGGTTAGAAGGCGACGTGGTGAAAGGAGGAATCCACAGTTTTTTGTTGAAAGACATGTTCATCACACTGTTGGAGTTATGGTTTGGGGTGCTATAGCTTATGATTCCAGGTCACCTTTAATCTTCATCAGAGGTAACATAAATGCGCAGCGTTATATCCACGAAGTTCTAGAACCCCATCTTTACATAATGATGTCACATTGTTACCATGGCCACCAAGATCTCCCGACTTATCCGCAATTGAGCACGTGTGGGATATGAAGGGTAGGACATTGCTCAATTTGCAACGTTCTCCTCAGACTCTAGAAGCACTTCGAGAGGAGTTGGTGGTTGCCTGGAATGAGATACCACAGGAGGACATTGACCACCTGATCAGAAGCATGCCTAGGCGCGTTGGAGAATGCGTAGCACATCAGGGTGCATCCACACATTATTAAAGGTCAAAGGGCTTTAAAGCAGTGCAATCATTTTGAAATTTTTATCATTTACTTATTATGCTTCATTAAGTACTTATACAAAATTTTATTAAAATAAAACCATTTAAACTGGGTGTTCGGATTTATATGTCACTTAGTATATTTATAATACTATGTAAAATGTGTAGTAAAAGATCGCGTTAGTTCAAGCTCACTAACTCATTCTGCTTGAATATACAGGGTGTCTCAAAAGTATAGACACGCTCAAATGTTTCGGAAACTAAAGGTGATAGAAAAAACTTTAAATATAAAGGTTTGGAATATCAAATGGCGCATCTGGTGGTGACTTTGGATTTAACGGTGACATTCATCTTGAACGTCATTTTTGCGGCAAGTTGACTTTTCAAATAGGAACCCACGTCTTTGTTGCAGAATTAGAAAGCCAGAAATAAATCCTTTTCAACGGTATACACATCATGGGGCTAAATTACATCTAGAGGTTATTTCAAGGTCAATTTTTGCTCTTTCTTGCAATGTTGTCAAGCAGCGGAAAAAGAAAAATATTAAAAATAACTTCTAAAGCACATTTAGTGACCTTTATTCGAACCTTGACTATGACATTGAAAGTCAATTCAAGGTCAATAGATTTTTTACGTAGAAAAATGGAGAAAAATCGCATGTTCATATACTCAATTAACAGAAGTAAAATCACACCTAGAGATTATTTCAAGGTCAAGTGACCTATTTTTGTGGATTAGACTAAATCGATTGCTTTTCTTTGCAAGTGAAAAGAAGATCTTGGGTTCATTCTATAAGATATTGAGGCGAGACTATTTCCGGCCAGTGGGGCTTTTAGAGGGGAATTTTAGATATTGCAAAACCTAAAATAGGTTAATTGACCTTGAAATAACCTTCAGCAGTTAAGCCTTTGAACATGAAATTTTTAAGCGATGGGAACAAAATTGAGGGTTTTCCTATGAGAAAATCCATTTGACCTTGAATTGACCTTCAAGGACACAGCCAAGGTCAGAATGTAGGTCACCATCAGATGTGTGGTAGGATGTCCTGCAATTTTTGCATAAAAAGGTTCTCCCTAATGTTTAACTTTTTCCAGCTATCATTGATTCACAACATTCCATGAAAGAGCAACAATTGACCTTGATAAGGATTTTTTTGCGTTATATTTCTGCAATAAGAAATGCGGGTGCCCATTTGAATCTCAAAATTAAATCCAAGATCACCACTAGATTCACCATTTAATTTTTTTATAAAGATTTTTCTATTTCCTTAATTTCCGAAATATTTAGTGTATCCATACCTCCAAGACCCAGTATAATGCCTCGCGCTCGCACGACAGACTTGCGATTTGTCTGGCACAATGTAAAAACCATTGAAACTGTCTAGCTGCTGAGGTAATAGCTTTTGGTAGCCCCCCAAGTAACAATCGTATTAGCCTCTGTACCATGACTAAAGCTTAACTTCAATTTATTAAAGCTTAGAGATGTCTTGTAGGCCGTTGAAACTGTACTGTCTCGCAATGCGTCGTTTCTGATATCATTTAGAAGTAAGAAATAAAAAACTGGGCCTTGTACTTTAACAAATTTGAGGTCCCTTTTATACACCGTGTTGCCTGTAGCCTGCCAAAGAACCACTATCCAAATTTCGTTGTCCCTGATCGTGCTTACCTGGGCTGGGAATATGCACAGAGATTTTATAAAATAGCGTCATCATAATAGAGATATTTGTCGGCAAAATGAGTAAATAATGGTACAGATCGGAACAATACTAGTACGTGTTTTTTTATTCTAATGAGGGTACATTATTTGTCAATTAAGTCACACACACTTATACTTTATCTGAAGTCACTTGAAACACTGTGAAATACCGGGTGCGTTTTATATATCTATATTTAACAAGCTCTGTTGCTGCAAAAATCGCCAAATTTCGCAGCAAATATCCCCCGTATAAGATCAAAGGCAGTTTCACCGGTCCACGTGGAGTAAAGCACGCCTATGCGTGGACATAGCCAATGAGAAAGCGTGTATTTTAGAGCTCCGAACAAGTGCAGGTGGCTACTGAAAATTGAAACAGTTTAGCCAGTGCCGTGTAGCGGTGAATAAACGTGTTTTCTTTAGTCTGTCCGTGTTTTTTCATAGATTTTATTAGTTTGTGTGTTTTTGACTTTTGAATACTCAGTTTACTTGTTGATTTAATTGTTGTGTCGATTGTTCTTGTGTGTCCTAAATATGGCTCTTTGGAGACCTTGGGAAAATGCTCCAAGCCACGAGGAGATGGTTGATGAACCTATGCAGGCAGAATTCTTTCATAAAGATTTAGAGGAACAGACCCAAAGAGTAATCCTAAATATGTATGATTGTCTGAAAAACGAAAATCCAGATTCCTCGCAAAATCAAATTTTAAGCAGAATTTGTATCCTGACAAAAATCAGTCGGTCTACCATTTATCGGGTTATAAAAAGGGGAGATGTAGTCAACCATTCCCTCCACAGAAAGCGCATAGGGAAAAAAATTAAAAAGAATAGACGTGGGTTTTCAGGAAGATATTCGTCGTATAATATACGGATTTTATAAAGAAAATTTGGTGCCCACGTTGGAAATGATACGGGATAAATTAAAAGATTATCCTGAAGGTTTTTATAATTACAAATGCTTAGACTCACTGCACTGTATTATAAAACTGTGTGGTTTTCAATACAAGAAATTAGATAAAAGAATGGTGATTATGGAGTCGTCTCGAATCATTGAATTGCGCCAAGAATTTTTGCACAAAGTTTAAATCTATAGAGAGCAGAAAAGAAATCTGATTTACCTGGATGAAACGTGGTATGATACCCATGATGTTGTGCAGTACGGCTGGGTTGACGACAGCAACAAGTGCATTTTAAATGCACCATGCAACCGTGGAAAACGAATCATTATTCTCCATGCTGGCAGTGAAAATGGATTTATACCTAATGCCTTGCTGTTATCTGCCAAAAATATCAAAGAATCATGTGCCGACTATCATGAGGACATGACCTCCGACTTATTTGAAAAGTGGATAGAGCAGCAGTTAATACCAAACATTTCCCAAATTCAGTGATTATTATGGACAATGCGCCAAACTATTCCCGACAGAAAAACAAAATTCCGAATACAGGCACAAAAAAACAAGACATTATTGATTTTATGAAGGATAAGGGAATGGAAATACCACAAAAATCAACCAAAGCCATATTATTGGATCTTATTAAAAGACAAAAATTTGAAAAAGAGTATGTTGTTGACAATCTGCTTCAGCAAAATGGCCATGAAGTATTACGTCTACCTCCCTATTACTGCATTTTTAACCCGATTGAGTTGGTCTGGGCAGCTTTAAAAAAAAAGTAAGAAAACATAATCAGACCCCTCAATTAAGTGAATCGCTATTGGCCACAATAAGAGATGCAGTATCTCATATTGCTGCCACAGACCTATGGAAGCAGTGTTCTAGGCATATTGTGGAAAAAGAAAATGAATATTGTGTTTTGCCTCCTGTAAATCCCGTTGTAATTCCTCTACAAGATGACTCTAGCGACAGCTCCGAAGGCGAGGATGATATATAAATACCTATAATGTAAGTCTTTATATACCTTTTTATATACGTACCTGCTATGTAAATATTTGCCTATGTCAAACGTTGTAATTCTGTAATTTTTCCATTTCTTAACTTTCAGTCAACATAAATTAAACTCCCAATCTAAGTATTTTTTATCCCAAATCAAAAAAATAAGAAGATAGTAAAATCCATTTATTGTGATATAAAAACATTATTATTATCGTTCTAAATAAATGACCGCACGCCTATCATACGTCATGAAATTACAAAGGACGCGCCGACCAAAGGTTTTTATGCTATTTCAAGTGACTTCAGATAAAGTATACATTCATTACACTTATATTCTCATATGCCCAAAAAACTTGGTTGGTCCAGCAATTCTTCAAATAACCTTGCAAACTCCACCTTGTCCTCCCTACTAGAAAATACAGAATTGACATGGTCTGTTTTCCACTATTTAACAATAGCAGTGAATGACTTTCAAGGGAATAAAATTTGTCAACTCCGTCCATATTTGCTTGGTGGCAGGAACCGAAACGTTAAACACAAAACCTTTTCCATTTCCCATCCATAGTAACCGTAGCCTAAGGGTATAGACTTCTAACGGTTTTTTTGACGAGCATTTAAATTGCGATAAATTGCAGGCCTATTACAAATTAGCTCTTTCGCCCAAGGAAGCTTCTGCTCTGAAAAGACTCCGGAATAGAGTGTGTCAACCCGAAAACTTCGGTAGACGACGGCGCCTACTAATTATGTCTAATTGCCAGTGCGCAGTAGGTATATTAAAATCGCTTCTCAACCTTGACAGACGATACACCGAAGCAAGTCTAGTGATTTGGTTACTGGGTGGGTAATTCGGTTCTTCCCTATTACTCAGGGTATGACAGTCTCCAATGTGGATGATTTGGAGTTCGCGTAACTTGGCACCATCATCGCGCGCCCTCTCATCAATTTTCCTCCTTTGAAGTATACAGTGTACGTAAACTTGACCTTCAAGATTTCTTTATGACAATATGTCTGACATATCAGTTCATAGAAGCTATTGTTGTTAATCTTGTACATTACATGAACAGGAATGCTTTATGAGCTTGACAACGAAACATTTTAAACAGATGAGTTCCATATGAGTAGAAACAAGAATTTCGCGATGGTTACAAACCTGACGTGATAGCTGGGCAATTTTAGCCCTAATAACCATTAGATCATAATCATAAGATAACGATTGAAAACGATAGTTGCTATTTGAATTAGAAAATCGAACTCAAATCTCATCTAAGATAATATGCTTAAGATCAGCACTCTTTTTAACTCCTGAGAAAAACGTGCTTGCGAAGCTCAGACTGTGTTAGGCGTCAGATTTATAAAGTCGCGTAGCTTAACCTCACTTAACTCAATCAAATTTAATTTGATCTAAAGGTGTTAGCATTTCCCATATTTTATTATCAAAGGGTGTATAAAGGAAAGGCAGATAATGCTGATAAAATTAAAGAGAGGTAAGAGGTCCCCCCAAAACTACGCAGAACAGCTGATGGCGTCTTGACACGTCTGTTCTTATTTAGTCGGAAATAGAAATGCATTGTTTTTAGCTAGGTATCACTGGTGAACAAAATTAAAATAGTTTTTTGTGACATGGATAAAACAAGGTGGTCATTATGTATAACGTACCCAAAAAGCAGGAAATGGCATTCGGTTTTTTCTATCACAAACGGTTTTTTTTGCAATAAGGCATTTTATTTGCTGATTTTACTGGTAAAATATCAGGATATGTGTGTAAGAGTACTAACAAACACTCGAATAAACATTAATCTCAGTATGTTGTTGTCGATGTTTTACGGCGATATGTAGCTCCTGAAGTATCTCGTAACAATGTCCAGCAATAATCAGCAAACAAATTGACACTACATTTTCCTTAATACCGTTTTTCCGTAGCAGAAATGTTTTGGTGGAACCGGTCACTGTGTTCATCACTTACCGCACCTAAATTTTCCGGAAAAAAATCGAAATGAGAATCCAAAATGTGAATTTTTAGAGACATGTTACATCCCATTTCTTTAGAAGCAATTAGTTCACTCACAATATCTTTATAATAGTCCGCCTTCACATTGCCTAAAAAATTTGCAGTAGCTGATTTAAAAGCATTCCAAGCTCGTAATTCAGTTTCGTTTAGAGCAAATACATCATCCTTCATGATTTTCCGTATTTGTGGACCCACAAGTATGCCCTCTTCAATTTTGGTCGCACTAAGTCTCGGAAATGTTTGTTTTAAATGCATAAACCCTCTTACGTTCCGATCCATAGCTTTCACAAAATTTTTCATCAGTCCCAACTTAATATGCAAAGGTGGAAGCAGCACGTTTTTGGGATCAACTAGTGGTTCATGAGCAATGTTTTTGAGGCCCTGAGTTAATACCTGACGTAGTGGCCACTCCTTCTGTTCATAATGACGATCTCGCGCACGACTCTCCCATTAAAAAAAAACAACAATATTTGGTATATCCCAGTTGCATTCCAAGAAGAATGCGCAATGGCCCATCCATATTCATTATAACGGATATGCTCTAACAGAACTCGCAAATTTTCATATCGTTCCATCGTATGAACTGCGTGCGGTATAGGTACAGATGGATATTTGTTACCGCAGGAACAGGAACACCAAGTTCCTAAGCGAACCCACCACCTCCCCGGTCCAGGTACCCTCACTCTTTCCGGCCCCAGTGGCGGTACGTGGACTGGACGCTCCTGCAACTTGTTCGCATGGCAAGCAAGTTAAATATTGATGCAGTTATTTTGTAAAAAGTCTGTGAGACTTGGCGCCACTACTCGCGTAACTGTTTTTGTGCTTTATTGAAATTTGAGTGTTTTGTATTTTGGTAAGTAAATGAAGCATTATTTATTGTTCTGTTGCTCGGTTAATACTTTGCATGAGAGAATATCTAGTATAATGTTAATTTTGTCATAAAAGTGTATTTTTCCATAAGTACACCAATCACATCTTCAGTAGATTATTTTTGTATAATTCATGCTCTCCACGTTATTTTTATTACTTTTAGAAATGAGTTGGGAAGCAGAGCAAAATAGATTGCAGGCCCTATGGGATGAAGTTCAACTTGAAGAAAATCCAGATGATGAGGACTTAGAACGCGGATGAGGACGTCACTGAAACAAGAGACACCGATAGCGAGTCAGAGCAAGAATATAAAGATGAGGTCATTTCTCTTCAAACTGCAGAAATTCCAGGAGCTCATCATTTTCACAAGATGGATAAAACGCTGCACTAAGAAAACTTCACGAACTAGACAAGAAAACATAATTGTGCGTCTTCCTGGGGTACGAGATTATGGAAAACATGCTCGCTCCGAAATCGAATGCTGGTCGTTGTTTTTCTCAGATGAAATGCTTGAAGAAATAGTCGAAAAGGCAAATTTGTATATTACTCGCATATCTGATAACTATTCCAGAGATAAGAGCGGCAAAATTAACAGACTTGCTTGAAAGCACTGTGTGGTTTGCTGTACTTTGCTGGGACTCACAAAAGTAGCAAACTGAACACGAAGGAAATTTAGGATAGACAAGGAACTGGCATTGAAAGATTTTGGGTGACAATGTCCGAGCAGCGTTTTCGATTCCTCCTTAACTGTCTGCGATTCGACGACCTGTCTACTAGAGACGAAAGAAAGAAATTGGATAAGTTGGCACCAATAAGATCAACTTTTGACAAATTCGTTCAGAACTGCAAAAATACTTACTGCATAGGAGCCAATGCAACCATAGATAAGAAGCTTAAAGCATTTCGTGGGCGTTGTGGATTCAAGCAGTACATCCCCAGTAAGCCAAACAAATATGGAGTTACGAATAGAAATTTGACTTGTGATAATTGGTTTACCAGCGTCCCTCTGGTCGAGAAACTACTCAAAGAACACAGACCAACATTTGTTGGTACCATGAAAAAAAATAAAAGGGAACTTCCCCCGGAATTCACAAATACCAGAAGTCGAGCTGCTTGTACATCCATGTTTGGGTTCCAAGAAGATATGACAATTGTGTCTTATGTCCCCAAAAAGTATAAAAATGTAATTTTGAATTCATCTTTGCACCACGATGATGCAATAGATAAGTCAACAAAAGAAAAAAGCAAACCTGATATCATAACGTACTATAACCACACCAAGGGAGGCGTTGACAATTTGGACAAGCCACATATAACGTAGCGAGAAATACTCGTAGATGGCCAATGGTTATTTTCTATGCCTTACTATACTAAGTGACATATAAATCCGAACACCCAGTTTAAATGGTTTTATTTTAATAAAATTTTGTATAAGTACTTAATGAAGCATAATAAGTAAATGATAAAAATTTCAAAATGACTGCACTGCTTTAAAGCCCTTTGACCTTTAAAATTGTCGGATGCACCCTGATGTGCTACGCATTCTCCAACGCGCCTAGGCATGCTTCTGATCAGGTAGTCAATGTCCTGTGATATCTCATTCCAGGCAACCACCAACTCCTCTCGAAGTGCTTCTAGAGTCTGAGGAGGACGTTGCAAATTGAGCAATCTCCTACCCATCATATCCCACACGTGCTCAATTGGGGATAAGTCGGAAGATCTTGGTGGCCATGGTAACAATGTGACATCATTTTGTTGAAAGAAGTCTATTGTGACTCTCGCAACATGTGGTCGGGCATTATCTTGTTGGAAAGTTGGATCTGCCAGGGTGTCAAGATAGGGTAAAAGATGGGGTTCTAGAACTTCGTGGATATAACGCTGCGCGTTCATGTTACCTCTGATGAAGATTAAAGGTGACCTGGCACCATAAGCTATAGCACCCCAAACCATTGCCCCAACAGTGTGATGAACATGTCTTTCAACAAAAAACTGTGGATTCCTCCTTTCACCACGTCGCCTTCTAAACCTGGCACGACCATCGTGCATGCCTAAACAAAATCGAGACTCGTCACTAAAGACAATACTGTTCCCTTCCTGATCCCAGAGTGACCGTTGTCTGCACCACTCAAGGCGATTACATCGGTGTTCTCGAGTTAAAGGGAGGACCCAGTGTGGCCGGTATGAAAACAAGCCAAAACTTCTCATTCGTCGGTAAACACTTCGCATGCCAATAGGTCTTCCGTGTTCTGCAAACCATTCATTTGCAATGGACCTGGTAGTGGAGAAACGGTCCCTTAAGGCCAATAATCTTAGGCAGCGATCTTCACGGTCTGTTGTTCTACGGCGGCATCCAGTGCCCCTTGCTCTTTGCGTACGGCCTCGAAGCCATGCATGACAACACCTAACCACAGTGTCTACACTTCTTTGCACTCTAACTGCAATTGCCCGAAAAGAAAGTCCAGCTTCCCGAAGTCCCACTATACGGCCCCTATCAAACTCACTAAGTTGACGAAATCGTACAGGTCTCCGTACTCTAGGCATCGTAACCGATCGTAAAGAATGTCAAGAACCAAAATCCGCCAACGTTGATTCTTTACTGCGGCTGAAATATTCATTTTTAGAGCGTTAGTGAATTAAAAAAAAAACAGTATAAAAACCGGAATGTACAACTGATAAGGCTGAACATTTTTTCACTTATTATTTACAGTAAGATAAATACATTCACCAAGTTTTATTAAAATAAAACCATTTAAACTGGATGTTCGGATTTATATGTCACTTAGTATAAATATAACAGGCGTTAGCTCGCAACTTATTTATGTCGTAAATAATAAACAATATTCTGTTATAAGAAGACTATACCTAAGAAACCTTGCACTAGAACTAACAAAACCACATTTAGTACGGCGAAACAAATGTACCAAGAGAAGTGAGAGAGAGGAGGCAGATTTATTCAGGAAAACCTGCTCAGCCATTAATGGACATTGCCCCTGGGACCAGAGAAAGATGTTTTTTTCTGTGTAAAAGATTCTAAAACTAGATTTTACTGCGAAAAATGTAAAAAATTTGTTTGTCTCTCACACCTAAGGGCTTGGTGTTCTATTTGTTTAGAATCATTGGGTAATGATTAAAACTCATTTTATGACCAATATATTATTTAGTGTTATCAAGAAAAACATTGTTTGCACTGTTCTTGTATTTTTGTTTCACAAATTCTAGGAATCACTTTTTCCCCTTATTTTTTCTTTCTATAAGGATAAATTTTATAAGAATTTTGTATTTTATGTTACAATGTTAATATTTGATCAAAGAGGATGTAATTAAACATACCCAATAATATATTTTTTTTAAAAACTGCTTCGCATGCGTTTTTTTACCAGGGTCTGACAGACTTGGCTCCACCTCTGGTGTCATAATATACAGCGCCACTTCCGGAACTTTTAAACTAGGCTTAGAGGAATCAATGAACAGGCGCCTAACATTTGGATCATCTTTCTGTCCTAACGCGTCAAACAAATTGTTGACATAGGAGCAATATATCAACTCCCTTTCTTGACGGCGACAGTGTGTGAGGTCTTGTGAACGTTTTCGGTGAAAATTAATGTTAACATCACCGTGGAGAAGATTGCATCCTTTTAATCTTGACGCTAAAAGTCCTGACTGGGATTTTGACAGATTTAGTTCTCAAACTGAGTCAAGTTCGCCCTGTGTGATCAAATCCGGCGCTGTTGAACATCCTGGCAGGTCAAACGAAGGATCGGAAATTTTTACGTTTTCTGTACCATCACTTTCAGAATCGGTGGATTCGACTTTTTCATCCAAGCAGCAGATTCCGGTAGATCTGAGACAGAGGGTTCACCACTTTGCTTAATGGACTGCAAAGCTGATGGTATATTAAAATACTAAACAGTGTGTTCCGATTTTGGTTCGATACCTTTAATATTTGTAAGACAAAAATAGCAATCAGTAGTATGGTCTCTCGGTTCTCTCCAAACCATTGGTACCGCAAAGGGCATTTTACGATTGTCCGCTCTTAACCAACCTGTTAACAACGTTACACAAGTATAAAAACATATATGAGGGGTCATAGTTTATCTTGATCGCCAACGTTAATTCCAAAATAAAGTTCGTATGCTTTCAACACAAGGAGAGTAAAACTACGTTTTTGAGATTTAAAAGTTAGCTCTCCGCACACATATCAAAAACTGTTCGCACCATTTACACAATTTCTAGGCATTGTCCATAAAGCTAGTCTCTATCACAATAAACTAAAAACAACTCGTCGTTGTAACAAAAATTAACAGTACTCAGTACTCTTCAACACAGAAAACGTAATCGATTCGGCTCCTATTAGTCTACTAATGAACGCAATATGCTCTCTAAACATGGAGTTCGCATATAATAAACAGGAATACAGGGTGACTTCGAAGTTGAGTCATTTATTTTAACAGTGAGTAGATCTGATCAAAAGAAATGTTTTTTTCCTTTACCATTTTTCTGGTAAAATTAAAGTAACAAAGTTATAGCCCTTTAGAAGTTTGAGTACCGCCCTGTCTCAATAATAATATTATGTGCTCGTGTTTGGCGACAACGGATATAATCTGCCTTATCGGTTCATCGCATCGGAAACAAAAAAGCGAAAGAATTTGGAACGATGTTTCTACAATTATTTCATTCAGTTGTATACAGTCAGTGTCAGTCGGTAGTGGATAGTGGTGTCTGTTGCGTGGCTCAAACGAAATAAAAAATGGCAAATGTTTATGCGGATCGGTTTCCCAATCGAGTGCAACCAACCCCTCGTGCCTTTGTTAATGTAGTACAACGGGTTCGTGAATCATTTGACTTAAGACCTCACATATGGACGGTATGCCGGTGCTCCAAGACCTCACGATCAAATACAGGTCCGCACTGAAATACTTGTCGGGAGGATACTTTATCAAACAAGGTAAATTTTTTTTTAATTTTTTTTTTATTTTTACACACATATTTGGGTTTATTTTCCTTCTACAATCCTTATCTGAAAATTAATGACTCAACTTCAAAGTATACAGGTCTTAACATTATACGGGGTGTTTCAGTTTATTGTTGCATAACTTTAAGATTCGATAGAACTTTTAAAATTAATGAGTAAAGACTATATAAACATGGGTCGAAAAATGCGTGGCTTCCGAAATACAGGGTGTTTAACTTTACTTTCTAAAATAGTTTCTTCTAAATTTTTCGAACAATATTTGACGTACAACAGTGAAAAAGGGTATACAAGGGTTTTTTGTTACGACAAAACGAACCATGGGCATAGTTTTACTGTAGCCGCTAGAGGGCGCTCTCTACTGTACCTGTAGTGTATTAAAATGACCGACAATTTTTTCTTAGTGCAATTTTT